AAAGAAGTCACAGCCACACGAAATAAGCGCCAGAGAGCTGGCAAGTCACCGCAGACAACACCCTGCGCTGCCCTGCCCAAGGGTGCATGCAACACTAGGCTCTGTCTGGTATGGGGTCAAGCCTTCTGTAGAACACCTCCGGGTCTTTGGGTGTGTTGTCTACATTAACATCCAGAAGGACAGGTGCCGTGGCCTCTCCTCCCACTCTGACAAGTGCATCTTTGTGAGCCTCGCGGAGAATCACAAGGCCTGACTCTTCACCCACAAGCGGATCATCTCCAACGCTGCCATCTTTGCCAAGTGGTACTTCCCCGGAGCGTGTTTAGCAAGCCCAGACAGTCATTGACAAGCCGGAGCCCCTGATATGAGGAAAGCCAAACAAGCAGGGTAAAGGTGGCACATACTTTCAACTAAAGCCATCTGCAAACAACATATAGGAGCTGCAAGCATATAGCCTTGCTGCTGGCTTCCAGAAGCAACCACTAGGGACATTCAGTCCTATGGGGGTACGCTAACTTATTTTTTTCTAAGTCCTTTACTCATTTATACTCATATTGCGGAGATGAGTATCTCAGTTCCGACTCCCCTGTAGGATGGAGTTGATTGTTGTGAATGGGCCTCATTCACAGTGACAGAAATACCCCAGCCAAAATGTTACAAGCGTGATAATCCGTGAATATCGAACGGACAAGCACTAGTTTTAGATGGGACACAGCAGCGTGACATAGCAGGTGCGGGATTGCTTACATAATGTGATAGTATCAGCTCCAAATGTTATCTGTCGGTTTGCCGAGTTGCTGAAGTAAGCGCTGCTGTGATAACAATCAGTTACATAATTGTATGGTCTACTGTGCTTTGGTTTCTCTGCATAATGACAGTTGCCGCATTTGGGTGGATTTTTGGGTCCTTATGCGATAAGATAAGATAATAACTCCATACACATAGGAGCATTGTTGAAAGTTGGTGTCCTTGCATGTCAGTGGAGCTCAAGTAGATGTATCCGGAATACAGATATAGTACCTGTATACAGATGCGATGAAAATATATCAAGCAAGATTGGTAGGTAGTTGTCGCATCGACAATAACAGACTTCACGTAGGCGGTGCGTTGACACTGTTTGAGTCAAATTAAGAATATGATCAAGGAGTGTTGGTCTCTTTGCGTACTAAACATATCAAACGAACGTAGACGAATGTATTCATTTTCTTGGCTCTGAACGCTCCAGCTGAGCAGCACTCGCATGAATGTATGAAATTTTGCCTCAGAGGCTGCACCTGTCCTTGCTGGCATCAATCCATCCACTACTACTACTTACTAGGCTCTTTCCATACACTCTCTTTGCTTACTATGGGGTCCATCTATGTTCATTTCACTGGAGATGGCTACAGCAACCAGCCTGATAAGAAGAAGAAGACTGAGGGATGTATCAAGTCATGGGTGAAGAAGGAGTATGGACATATGGGGTGAAAGGAGCTATTTGTGACATCCAGGTGCGTTCTCTTTGAACTTTTTTTTGCATTATAACACGATACTTATGGTTTTCAGTTCTAGTACCAACCATAAGGGATTTGATTGCGGTATTCCAGACGAGTCATCGCACTTTACTGTGATGATAAGCTACAAGTATTGCATTCATTTAGAGGGTCATGTCCACATACCTTTTGTCTAAAAACTTGATGGTACGTTCCCCGCTTTGTTTATCGAACGTTCCTTGACGGCTTGCCCAGTACGCATTCGATCACTAGGCGTTCGATAAGTGTGCATTCCATTGGTGCGAGTTCAGAAGTTGCGAGATATGCCATTGCAAATTTAGTAGTGACAAGTTTGATCGCTGTGCTGTCAAGTTTTGTGTTTGTGTCGAAGAGGTGAGAGGAATTCTTGAGGTGATAGAGGTGTACCACCAATTCTTCAGCTTCTTCTGCAAAACTCCTGAGGTCCCGGTCTATCTAAGTCGGGGATTGCTCAGTTGGCTGTCGGTTAAAGAACCTGACTTGAATTTGATAAGACAAGCTTTGTGAGCTCGTCGGCAATACCTAAAGAGGTAAGAGAAGGGTTAGCCTGTATGGGAGGCTTGAGGGGTCTTGTGTTGATGTCTTGTGCGACGCGCCGTGCGTCAAAGTTCCTGGAGAAATAAACAGAGAGTTGTTCCTTTGGTGGTGAAGGCAATAGAGTGTGGGAAACGGATTTGAACAGCCTACAGTGGCTGTGTAGAGTCGATAGAGTCGATAGAGAAGCTGTCCAGGCACTCGAGTTCTGATAGAGAAAGTTTTAGCAGACGACTGCTGAGTACTTTTTGGGGGGAACTGATTGATTTCTCATTCATGCCAGTTCAGCTACAATTTATACTCCTTAGCTAGGCCAGCTTTCTGAGTCACATTAGTAATCCTAGCAGTGCTGAGTCAGCTTCTGACTCAGCCAAGTCATAATTTGTCATGTGCTGACTAAGATCGGGCACCACTTGGTAATCCTTTCCTAATATAGTCAGACTTTCCTGGGCTAGTTCCGCACCTATTCACTTTAGGGGTGGGACATCATGGGTGGCGCTTCAGAGACAACCGGGATGCACTGAGGTGTAGTCCGATACGGATCTCTTGACCGACTGGAGCCATCAGGTTCCATACGAAGGGGTTGGCGGGAGTAGGGTGCATCGCATATGGCAGATAATCGGTACGACGTCGTTGGTTGTGGTCGTTGAGGGATAAGGCAAACCAAAGGGGAGGAGGTGGGCCTAGCGTAGGAGACAGGCCTGGATCTTTGTCCAATGTGCCAACACGGAATGAGGGATGCAGGGTAATGGACGTCAAGTCCTGAGTTGTCTTGGCCAAGGAGTGCACCGCCTGCGCTACTGCTGCGCTCGGGTCTGGTCTCTGCAACGTCCCAAAAGACCAGGTCGACTCACTTGAAGGTGCGAGGACTACTGAGTGCTCCCTCCAGGATAGTGCCCCACAAGTTCCCTGGACGGGGAGGTAAGATGTAGGGATGGAGTTGTGTGCCAATAGGCGCAACTACGTAGCAGCCTTGAGGGGGGTATGCCCTAGTGAGCCCTGGCGGGGGAAAGTGGAGGGTGACAGAGTCTTCCTCAATGCGAGGTACTGCATTGGTAGATCCTGTAGAGGTATCAGTAGTACCGGACGACATGACCGTTGTTGAGCTAGCGGGGATGCCGGACTCACTCTGGCATGTAAGAGCAACATTGGTAGTTGTCGTAGGTGGTGGGGATGATGGAATAGAATGGTATTGGTGAAGTCAGGGTGGCGTGATTACTGCAGACGACGTAGGTGCACCCTCACTGCCAGACGTGTAGAGTGCGTTCACAACTTGGCTTGTGTTGCCAGCAGAAGGTCCATGTCGAGTGAGAGGACGATCATTGCGGTCAGAGAGGGAGATCTCAGTGAGCGGCTGCATGGTGTCTTACGATAGAACGGGTGGTTTCCTGATAGAGAGGAAGAGAGCAATCCATGACTTAAGTGTCACTCTGCATGAGGCTTCGTGCAGCGTAGGATAGTTGGTGTACTTTTTCGGTGCGGTTCTATCAGACATGTGATTGGATGTTCTTGCAGGCTTCTCTGACACTTCGATAATTCAGTTTGGGTGACTCGGGAGGAATGGTACGCTGTATTGAATTGACCTTCTGTGACAGTCTTTGCTAAACTTATACCCTTCTGCATGGGGCCGTCGAGGCATGGAATATGCCGGCGATAGATTTCATTTGGCAGTTTTTCCTTGGTTACCAGTTCATTGTCGTGTCAGACACTCCCTGTCGGATTATTTACAGTATACCCCTTTTTCTTTCGATATCCGTTGCATATCCCGGCGCTGAGTTCATGTAGTCTAATACAAAAAAATTCGATAATGAGTCTACGTGTCCTCTTCCCTTGCCATTGCCACCTGTGGTCCATCCCAGCTGCTCAATGTGTCTGATTTAACTTTGAATTAGAATAGTAGTCAATCTGAACATGCGGTGGATGTACATACTGGCTTGCATGGTGGCGTCGGCGGCTTTGGTAATGTTGTGTTTTGTCCAATCTCGCATTGACAGGCGGGCAAGCTCAGGCGTGACGCGTAACATGACATGCTCCGAGTTGATGACCTGCCCTGAAAACACGACAATCCCATGCACAAAGAAGGTGACGCAGTCGTCGTGTAGTCGGAATATGGACCGAACGGTGTTGCACACCCAGGTGCCGGTGTACTCCATACGAATGTGTATGCTGATGTGCACGTCCCCGAGGATGGGTGCCGTGAACGTCCATATAAGGAGGTTCTTCTTGGGTGGGCTGCGGTCCTGCAGTCGCGAGCTGATGGCACGCTGGAAGAGCCACCGGGGAGGTGGTTTGGGTGAAGCGTGGCTTGGGTGTAGGCCGGGTGTGAGTGTAACGGCTCACCCAGACCGCGCCCCAGATGGAGCGTGAGCACCCGGCTAGCCCCCACCATGCGGTCGGGTCCTTTCCTGGGAGTTTTGTGCAATGCCCCGGGGCATGTGTTGCATGTGGGTGGGTAGGATACCCTCGACCACCCGCCAGTATCAAAGAAACGAGTCCGACAACCATCTTACAGCTTTCTTGATGACATCGGGGGGAACTCCCAATATCAGCAATTCCGTGGTGCCTCCGATGCAGAATGAGTGACCCGTAAGCCTCGGGAGGCCTGGCCTCCGTCCAAACCAAATTGCATTTCTTCATGAAAAAACGCTGGGTGAGTGGGCGGGTGCTGAAGGATGTCTGATAAGCAAAGAGGTGGTCCGAGTTGGCGGGATTATTCCAGAACAAGTGATGGCAGAGAGCCTGAATGGGGTCCGATGATCCTCGCTGGCGAAGGATCACGACGTCTTCCCCTTGGCTGAAGCGAATCTTGGTGGAGGGGAGATGAATGATATGGGATGTCGAGGCTGGGGAAGGAGGAGTGAGGTCCAAGCGACATGGACTCCTCTTCGCGGCAGCCGGTGTTGTCGACGGCGGAAGGAGCTTGCCAAGGCGGTATTGGCCCCAGAACGCCACGCATGCCGCAGCAAAGACGGCTATGTCCACGGGGTTTGAGAGGTTAAGTTTAGCCCTCAAGATGCGCAAAAAGTTGCGGGAGACCGGGAAGCATGGCGGGCAGCGCGAAGAGAGTGGACGCTGATTCTCCACGCCGTTCAAGATGTACTTCAGCTGCTTGCCTCCTTTCCACTCCGCATTTTGCGCTGCATGCCATGCCTTAAGGCCGGCAATGGCGTTTCTGACCGTGCTGCCTGCGTGGCGGCCTTTGCTGGATGCGGCGAACGCGCATAGGACCAGTTCGTCGGCTGGAAGCCAGAACCTTCGCTGGATCTTTTCTTTCCTGCAGAAACGGATGAACCTATTGACCGCGCTATTGTAACCTTGTAAGGTGGATGGCGCCCACCCGTGGTGCAAAGTCCTTGCCAGCTGAGCCTCAATGGTGCCTGAAAGTTTGATTTTGTTCGGGTTATGGAGCTTGGCCGTCCTTGACTTCCCACGCGGTAAGGCAAAGTAGTCGACATGAGACGGGTCTCGAGAGGATATGCGAGGTTCCCGGTGTTTGTTGCGGGCTCGTGGTGACGGTGTCGACGAAGTGCACATGAGGAGAGCTTAAGCGCAGCACGCCGCCCAAGGTCTCTTGTCTATTTTGGTCTGAGTCTCCTCGTTGACACTCCACTACCTCTTTGTCTATCTCTGATATCATATACTCTCCTTTCCTTACTCTCCCCTTCTCTCTCTCTGTTTTGAAAGAGAAACACTCGACTATAGATTGACACAAGTTGTAGCCCTACTTATGAGGCCGGAGATGCAGAATGGGATCTTGACCAAAGTGTTCGACCGCAGCGAATCACCTGGAGCTATACCCCTCAAAGGCTTGTCTGCTTTGTTCTGGATTGACGGAACGTACTGTGAGATGACCCACACATTGGATGCACGCATGAGCGCGACGATCCTCTGTAGAACGCAATTCTGTTCCATGTTCCTCGACTTACCGGCCTCGAGTGCGCCGATAACCCCTTGATTATCCGATTTCATAACTAACCGCGTGTTCGATACGCCTCTTGCGATAGCGACTCTGAGGCCGAGCTCGACTGCCACCATTTCGTCCCAACTGATGTCTCGTCCGTCGGATTTCCAACCCAGTTTGAGCTCCCAGGCGTCCCATGAGCCGTCGATTACAATTCCGATGCCGAACGACGTGAATGCGTCAACCCAAAGGTCGCAGGTCAATGTGGTTCTCGGCACTCGGAGTGTGCTGCCGCATTCTGGTAGCTGCAGTTGCGACCTCCAGAACTCGATGTCTTCGAAGATGCCATTCGGCTTTCTTCTGAAAAACGGCGAAGAGGTGTAGTGGAATGAGCTGACAAACTTCGAGAGGTGAACGAGTCTCGAGCAGCCATCCGGCAGGGCCATGCTGCAATGAACTAACGTCCCCAGGATCTGTTCCGCTTCCTTCCTCGTGAAGGACCTGCCAGGTATCCATGCGTCTAGCTTTTTAAGTACCTGCTCTTCTTTTCCTCCGGAATGGACACTCGTTTCGTCACCAGGTCCCATAAGAATCTGAGATACTTGAAGACCGACGCGATATCACGGGTTTTCGATGGCTTCCATGGCCAGCCGAGGCCCTCCGCTAGCTCCATGATCTCTGCTAGGCTATACCAATATACCGGCGCCCCTTCTGCGCTGGCTTCGCTTGGGAATCGAAAAAACGTGAAGTCGTCTACCCACTTCTTCAGTGCGTCCACCCCCCAAGCCAGGTAAATCGCCGCCATACTGTCTGCAACACGGCCCCATACGCCCGGCGAACTGGCCGGGCCAAATGGGGCGTTGTGATCGATCCAATAACACCCCTTCCAGTGTACCACGAAGTGCCGTTGCTGCTCTGGACAGATCGGGATGCATCGGAACGCTGCATCGACGTCCAATGTCGCGACTTGCGAGTTCGGCGGAGCCTCCATGACTAGGAGTGCCATTTCTGCGAATGAGCTCCACTCACATTGAAAGTGGTCGGTATCGATCTCGCTATTGACGGATGCGTGTGAGTGGTCGTTCCGTGGGAATGAAAAATCTTGAATCATTCTCATTCCGGATGAGCCCGCTTTTGGGACTGCCCCGAGCGGCGACATCCTGAAGAAGCCTATGAGCGATTCAAGCTCCGTCCTCAAAAAGGGGCCCGAGTATCGGCCTGCCGATCTCTCTTTCTCGATATATGCATCGATCGTGTCGCTGTTTTCCAGCGCTGATCGATGATTAGGAGGGTCGTAAGTTTTCAATAACGTGCTCGTTATACCCATGTCAAATCTGATCTTGATGTTTGGTGCTATGTCCGGAAACCTGTCCAGCAGGCCAAATTTGATGAGCGTCTCATGCCAGCGATGTGCAATGAGTGGAGTGATGATGGGGAACGGATCAGCAGACAACGGTGCAGCTCTGCGCTCCGTGATTTGCGCCGCCGCAGTGTGTGCACCTGTGGTCTCCTTTCTTGCAAGGTCTGTCCTCTTTCCTCGAGCACCCGCCGGCCATGTTGAAGAAGAAACAGTATTGCCGGCCTTTGGCGTCTTTGACGGTGCGGTCGTCACCTCTGATAAGAAAAATTGGTTGTCCATTGGTGAGCGTGTCGGCCTTGCACGATGAGGCCCTATGGCCCTTGCCACCGCACATGAAGCATCTTGCGTCGATGTGCTTGGGGACAGACAAGTGTGGGTGGCCTGTCGTTGAACGCCCCCCTGGTTCTGCTCTCAAGCCTGCGCTCCGCGAAGTGGGTTGGGACCGAAAGGGCTGCAATGAGGCCATGACCTGCGCCTTGAGATATGCGGGCTCCACCTTTTTCCAAATGTTCTTATGGAAAGTACCCGGATCTATCCCTTCGAGGTGACAGCGGCGGTGAACTTCCGCGTCGTACGCCAGCTAAAGCCCCCAGTTCTCCGACGTGGCCCCGTCTGTGTGACATATGCGGTTGAAGTGCTTTTTCCACCGTTCATAATCCCGTCAGAAATATGTCTTGATGTGCTGGAGCAGACACTTCCAGGCCTGGAACCATTCGCCAAAGGATAGTTTAAGCTCGCCGGCCGACGGGAGGATCTTTTCCGCTTGGATCAATCCCCTGGCCGGATTAACGGCGTACATGTCAGTGAGCAGGGAAGATGTATTACATCCGTATTCGGCGACAGCTTTATCCGTGAGGTAGTTGAGCGGAATGTGGGTCGTCCACCCTTCCTGAAACTTCTTCCTGATCAGATCCGTATTCAAATAGCAATCTGCTTTCGCCTGTTTTCCCCTGACCAGTTGGGGGTGGCGCGGGCCTTTGGTCGTCTCCGGAATGCGGTGTACGTGTCCTTCTCTCCTCGCGTGACGCTTCCTTGTGCGGTCGCCACACGAGTTGCAACGATATGGTGACTCCGCTCTCGAACGGTGGGCACCTGATGGAGAATGCTCGGTGGACGAGCTCCTACTAGACCCCGGATACCCTGAGGACGACCTTGAACTTGAGGAACGACCGCTTGACGACGACGAGTGTCTGTTGTGCCGCCTCCTGGGGCGGCCACGGGTTCTCCCAGCCCCTTCTTCGTTGCTCTGTCCTTGGCCAGCAGACTCTGACGACGAATAACGGCGTCTTCTCTTCCTCGCTGGGGAAGCATTGTGAGAACGGTGACACCTGGGGCGCGAGTGGTCCCATCTCCGCTTATGCTGGTGATGTCCCAATGAGGATCTCCTTGGGCTAGACCAAGGTTCCGGGCTCCCGCTCTCTCGGTGTCTCCCGATATGCCCCCGCAGGGTGGAGACTTCGCGCCCAGATGGCGTTGGAGATGCAGGAGGGGTTGGGGGAGCTGAGCCTATGTGAACGTCAGCCCTCTGCCAACCAGCTCGCAATTTGGGAATGCCCTATGGCAACCCGTTCAAGGCCCTATGGCCTGAACCGATTAGGCCAAATGGCCAGCCTCGTTGCATATGCAAGTCAGCGAAAGACTCGCCAGCGGCCCTATGGTCGGCTTACGGTGGTCCATAGGAAGCAGTCAGGAGCATATGCTCCAACTCGCAAGGGGTGCGACAACTCACCCAAGTCGTCGGACGGGGGAGAGGGTGATCCTCGCCTTCCTCCTCGTCTTCCTCCCAGTTTGGGGAGTCGTTCTCGATGCCCATCTCTGGTTCCTGCTCCTTGTCTTCCTTGTCGCCCCAGGTCTGAGACTCTTCGGAGGCAGTGTCTGATTCGTGCGGGACGCCTCAAAAGGTGGAGCCGGACGTGTTCGACGTTTCGTCGATGATGTCGGCAAGGTCTTGCCTGGTAAAGAGTGCCTTGAAATCCGGGTGATCCATGTAGAACTTGATGTCCTCGAGGAGGGCACGTCGGGTTTTAGCTTTAAGGACCGCTACTGTTCCATCTTGTTCAAGTCCCAGGTGCAAGGCCAAGTCTTGTAGCTCTCTTTTGCACAGCGACGACAGCCGCTTGTTGAACAGCAGAGGTCGTTTGATCCACGGAGGCATTTGTCAAGTTTGTGATAGGATTGCTTTAAAAATACAAAAACGTAGTAGCACGATCTTTGCTGCCCTCGGGAACAGGAACAGAGGGCCAGCGAGGCGACATCTGCCACCCAAGAACCGGCACTGCCGCACGTGACCTCCGCTCCGGTGCGCCCACCCACGTCGACAGGAACAGCAAGGATCAAGAAGCTGCATTGTCCAGGCAGCCAATACGCAGGATAAGTGGACTAGGGAACGGAGGAGTCGGAAGTGCCAGGCCAGGCTCAGCATCCAGGGCCTCTCGTTGAAGAAGGTGAGCGGGTCAGAGGGTTTGGAGGGGTGGGCCGTTGGACCAGCTATAGCTGTCGCGTCCTGCATATCCAGCAATGTTGCGGTCAGAGGGGGAGTCAAATACGAGAGGAATCCACTTGTCCCATGACATGGTCACGAGGATGCTCCACAAGTCCCCTGGCTGCGGGGTTGTAGTAGAACAGTGTTGCCAGAGAGCGATATTGGTCATTAAATGATTGTAATATTCTGGGTTGGCGGCAAAGGTCACGGAGCTGGAGTCGGTGTCACTGTCGGTTGTATTGAAATCCTGAGCATTACTGGGAAGCTCTAGCCGATCACAGCTATGGAGGGATTATCGGTTGCTTTTCTCGCTTTGAGAGGGTAGAATGTTGTCTACCTGGCTGGGGAACGGATTAGGTCCAGATGAAAGTTCATTGTATGGCATATTAGGACGTTGGCGAACGTAGAGGTGAGAGGGAGACTGTCCCATTCGTGCATGCGCAGTATGGGGGGAGCAGTCAGACTATTGCGTGCAGGTACTTTGCGTGTGCGGGCTTCCTTATTCTTCCCACGTGCATTTCCGCTTTGTGGCGCTTTGTTTCCTTTCATAGGACCAACCATTCTTCGGTGGTCTAGAGTGCTGCACCTGGTTGATCTCATCCAGGAGGAAGGTGTGGTCATTGGACCACTCCCCCTGGCACAACACCCACTGCGCATTCATCACCTCCGGCCACAAGTTATCTTCATTGTGGCGGGGACGGGCGGCCCGAGACTCTTGACAGCGCAGAACGACGGCACTGGTTGTTAGAGCGCGCGGGGTGGCACTAGTCATTGGAGTATGCAGGACGGCATTTGCGAATGAACACGGCTTCTTGCTGTGCGTGCAATTGCGGCAGGCCGTGGCTTTGCCTCGGGTGATGGGCAGCTGGCACCCCTTCTTTGTGGCCTTGTACTGCAGGCACGGGGTGTTGACCTCCAGCTACAGGATCATCAATTCCGACTTTTGGCGATCGCAAAAGGTACTTACCTGCCACAGGCCGTCCTCGTCGACAACCAACACCGGCTCGTCGTGTTTGGCCCACTTCACAGGGGCCAGGCCAGGGAGTGACAGCTCCGTCTGACCATGGCGATGCTAGACATCACCAAAAATCAGCTTGCTATTCTGTTTCTGACCGCGTACTGGATACGCACCTTAATCAACGTGGCGGAGACCTCGCTGTGGACGTCTGTATCAGAGCACATCGTGCTCCACGAGACTGCTCCCCCCGCACAAACCTGTGGCACTACCACCTCAATCTGACTACTCCACTCATCTCCCAACTCTTGTGCATTCCCCTTTCCCTTTCCACTCCTCTTCGGATGCTTTGGCGTCTCCTCCTCCTCTGCTGGCAACACCATCGTTTCATCTTGCTGCAGTGCGACACTTGCCAACGCTGGTTCCGCCAAATTGGCGGCGTCAAGGGCACAGAGACGGGCCTGCAGGTTGGCACCCTCTTTGGAGACTGAGCCCTCGAGGCAATCGATCTGGATAAGTGATCAGACTTGATGACTCAAATTTCATCTCTTACCTTCAACCACTATGGCTCCCCGCGTTAAGAAGAAGATCACCGCCAGCCAGCCTGCAGTCCGCTCGGCGGCTAAGAGGGGGATACTGTCACGTGTCGATCCAGACCAATCTACACCAACCTGCTCTGCCGATCTTCACTGATCTTCTCCAATCTTCTCCAACTCGTCTCTAACTCTTTGCCGACTTCTTTGCCGACATCAATCCCGCCTTTCCCGTTTTGGCCGAGGGCGGGATACATCTATCACATGCACCAGGCCACCAGCGGCTCAATTCCCCGGTGTTTCCAGATCTCTGAATGGATTCAACTCTGACTTTCCTGTTTCCTGTTCCCTTTGTCTGACATCATAGTTTCCCTTTGTAGACCTTAGTTTCCCGTTGCTTGCGACAGATCTTTCGGACCGTCCTTTCTGTCTCTTCTCTAGATATGTTCCCTTTGTGTTCCATGCATTATCGCTCGTCTCCATATGTTTCCTTTGTGCGCCGAACAGCGCCTCCAAACTCCGCATCTCTGACTTGCCACTGGTCCACTTTATGTATTTAAACCGTCAAACTGTACTGTAGATAGTCAGTTCGAATATCGACTAAGCTTCTCTCTCTCTCCCGCGGACTCAGAGCACGTAGCAGCCTAGCGCATGAGCTTAGGCTTGGTCTGCATCCATACTCGACTTCACCGACTCCTCTGACTTACCAACTCAACACCGACACGTCTGCGATGCATCTCCGACTTCCCTCGACTTTATCTTTGTGTTCTTTCTTTCCCCTTGTCTCATTCTTTGTATCTACCTTTCGGACTTTGGTCCTCCGACCCTGTTCCCCTTCTGTATCTGATCTTGACAAGAAGTTGGACCCTCCAACAGAGGTACATGAGGCGATCAGATTGGGGTTACATCGCAACGGCGCGTCACATCACCCCTGCTACCCGAAGGAGTGGACCAAACTACTAGCAGCGTACGTGACAATCAATGGTGTCTGCGCCTGGATGCTATTTGACCTCGGATCCAATACGGATGCCGTGAGTACAGAGTTTGCACAGGTATGCAAACTCGACGTGTTTGAATTGCAGAGCCCAGTCACATCGAAACTGGGCTGTAAAGGCAGTAAATTGAAAATCACCCATGGTGGACACTGTCATACCATGCTAGGGAGCATTAATACTGACTGGTATTTTGATGTTGCAAACATTGCTCACTACGACACCGTGGTCAGCCTCCCCTTCTGTGCTAAGCATGGGATTACGATCATACCAGAAAAGTGTACAATAAGATTATACGATGGCAATGCAATTCCTGTTGAATTGGAAGGGGGAAGGGTCGGCGACAGAGACAAATGGGCTAGGCCCTCACCGCAAGCAAAACTGAAAGATTCCTTTTGGAAGTAAATAACCAATAAATCCAAGACACCCACAGGCCAAAAACACCAGTTCGATCCCACATGCTTGATCATTGTGTACCTGACATCAGCAAGAAGAACTCACCAGCAATATCAAAACTCGCCAGTGCATGAGTACACATTGAGGAGATTGAGGATATTATATTTCCTCAGGAGTTTGAAGAGGCATACCGACAGCACTGGTGGGCTGAGGAGGATCAGCAGAAGATGCCATGGGGCAAGTGAATACCTTTCCCGGGACCGCCAGGGTCAGAACAGCCCAAAAAGGCAAACAGCACCCAGGAAGCTGATGGTACAACACCATCAACCGCCCAAGAACCCGTTTCAGATGGAGCCATCCCACATCTCCGAGACCGGTGGACAGAAAGTATAGCAGATATCATGGGAGACATTCCGCTCAGAAAGCCTCCTTACAGGGAGGTTAATCATAGAATACTGTTGATAGATCCAAATGTGAGGTATCGGGGGCATAGGCCTCAATGCGTGGAGGCGTACCAACACTTATTACATGACAAAATACAGAAATACACCATGGCTGGGTGGTGGGAATGGAAGCCCATTGAGAATGTGCTTCCTATGCTGTGCATTCCCAAGAAAGATGGGAAACTGCGTACCATCTTTGATCTCCAGGAGCAGAATGGTAATATGGTACATGATGTCACCCCTATGCCAGATCAGTATAGGATCCGGAATGATGTAGCATGTGCATGCTACAGATCCAAGCTCGACATGAGCGACACATACGAACAAGTCTGTGTTGAAAAAGGTTATGAGCTAAAAACAGCTTTTTTGACAATTATGGGAACTATGATCTCCCATGTAATGCAGCAAGGGGATTGTAATGCACCTTCAACATTTCAGTGATTGATGACGCACATATTCTGAGATCACATCGGAATATTCATACACATGTACCTGGATGATATATTCATTTTCCTGAACACTATTGAGGAACACAAGCCGCATCTTGGCCTTGTGTTCAATGCTCTGTGAAGGGCACAGCTCTATCTGTCAAAGAAGAGGGTGAATTTATACTCCGAACAAATGGAATGTTTGGGCCATATTATTGATAACCAAGGGATACATGCCAAGGTTGACAAACTCAAGCAAATTCACGGGTGACATATACTGCGGAGTTATACCGAGGTTGCACGGTTCCTGGGACTAGTACAGTATCTATCTCAATTCATGCTGAATGTGGCAACCTACATGGCCCCACTATCTGACATATATAGCAAAGGGATGCCATTCCATTGGTGTCCTATACATGATAAGTGCTTTGAAACAATAAAAGCATTGGTGTGTAATGCACCAATCTGTCAGGGACAAAACTACAGGGCAAAAATATCAGAAATACGGAGGTCCGATGTGCAGGAAAAGCAGAGATGAACAATACCAAAGCTGAACAGGTCTGGGATGAGTGGACCTAAGTCCAACATGCAAAGGCGTACTGCCCAGACCACAATGCAGAGTCGAAGACGCAATTCAGAGACAATATAAAGAAGAGTGGTATGCTGACATTAGAGCAAAGTTGGAGCAAAGTTGGAGCAAAGTCGGCGCAAAGTGGGGCAGAGGCGGACTTGACCCGAAGGGTTGCTACACACTCGAGATCCGCTTAGGAGCAAAGGGGAAAGCCTAGTTGATATTGGAACTGAGGAATACCGTACAGACAAGCTGATATAAATACTCAGCAGAACAATGGAAAAGTCGGAGATGAATCTATCATCAGTAAGACAAAGGGAACAGGGAAGAAGATCTAAAGTACATGTGGAACACAAAGGGGATCAGTGCCAAAGAAACCGAGCATAAGGGAGAAGAATACAGTGTGAGAATAAGCAAGGACGAACAAAGGGAACATGGGAGAGTCAAAGATACGAAAAGTCTGCCTGAGATCCGTTGGAGGACCATGGGAAAATGAGCAGCAAAGAGCAGAGGAGACATTGGAGGACAGTCAGGGATGACAAGCAATGATCGACGATGATTGACCCGTGACAGGGTGATCATATGTCGGCTCACAGGGATGGTGCACCTCATCCCCTGTACCACCAAGTCCACTGCAAGTGAACTCGCATATATATTTCAAAGGGCAATTGTTTGGCTGCATGGAGTCCTGGAGACAATAGTGTTGGACCAGGATTCTCGATTCAATTCCAGATTTTGGCGAGAATTACACCGATTAATGGGTACCCGCTTGTTAATGTCAACCAGTTTCCACCCACAGACAGATGGTGTCACTGAGCATGTGAATTGATCAATTGCACAGATCTTGCGTGCATTTGTATGCCTGGATCAATCTGACTGGGCCGATGTAACACTTTGACACCATGCACACCCGATATCTGCCATTTCGCGCTACTCAATGCCATGGCTGTGCGGAAACCTCTCTCTTCATGCCACGACAACAACCTTGGCCCTCGACAATCACAGCATCTGGTAGCAAGGAGATGGCACCTGGCATGATCAGCGGACACCTTGGTATCCCTTATATATTTGCTTTGCGATGTACCGTACCTTTTTTTTGCAACGTGCTCACCCCGTTTCTCCACTGTATTATGCCAGAACTAGTGTCAGAACCAGCAAGCAAACCAATTGACTACCGAAACACCAGCACCAGCCTTTTATTTGACTATCTTCCACCTATCAACCTATCTATCCTACCTTTGACAGCCACCAGGTTTGCCTCTTCAATCCTTGCACCTTTTATCTTTGCCTCGCCTGCCCTTGCCGGGTTGGCATCACCACACCGAGTCCCTCGCCCTGACCAAATTTGCAATGAACACATCACGGTCGGAGACAACAGGTTATACCCCATTTGAACTGACCTATGGATATGTACCGTGCATGTTAGATGTGGTACATACTGAAAAGACATTGTCTGGGGTGTGGGATTTTGCAATATGGGCAACGGACTGTCTTCAACAAGTGTATGACACCATAATCGAGGCAAGAGTCAGCAAGCACACCATGCCAACATCTGGTAGAACTCCAGAGCTATAAAAGCTATAGAGTGCTATGGTAGTGCTATGGTAGTACTCTATAGTGTATATAGACTGCCATAGCAATGTAGATTTTTCCTGAGAATTTCCGACAGCACAATCACCCCCCATATCAGGAAGGCAATCTCGTGTACGTCAGCACCTCGAATATCAACCTCCCTCTACGGAGAGCATGGGAACTTGCTCCTAGATTCATTGGCCCATTCAAAATACTGAAGTCAATGGATGACATCAGTGGTTACAAATTAGAATTGACTGAGGAATTGCAGAAGTGCCACATATATCCGCAATTTCACATATCAAAACTCCATGCTTATGTATCAAATGACGACACCAAGTTCCCAGGCCGGGAACCTGCCGCCTTCTATGACTTCAGGCAACCGGTGTCCCACCCCTAAAGTGATTAGGTGCGAGACGCGTAGAATGCATGCAAGAAACATGAATGCAGTCTATAGGTAGCCACTCACAATTACTATAGAGTACAACTTGCGTGACTACAATCATAGTAGCCGATCCTTAGTTATGCCAGTTTCTTTCCCAGTACTCAGAAACGACTCACATTAGTATTTAAATATTTTTGGGTAGTGTAATAGTTTTATTTATGTACACATTTGACTGTTCACTACACTATCATGATCACATATCATGGATCAGACGGTCAGAGTAGTCTAGATACACCTCAGAAAAGGGGAATATGTGGGTACTCAGACATGTTGCTATAGTAACACAGGGCTGTGCTGCAAGGCTGTGCAGATTAGTAAGCTTGCTGCAGATATTAGTAAGCATGCTGCGGCGCAGCAGGCACTTAGTAAGCCTGTGATGTGATTGGATGGAGTGGTAATGGCCAAATTAGCATAAAAGGAGGGCACATGAGCCCTTCGAGGTAATCAATTCACTTTCACCCAGAATTGACGATTGATCACAGGAGACTGTAGATCAGTTTCTATTAGTATTAAGCAGCAAGAGCAAGATTAGGAAGACATTTGAGTGTTGACTTAGGCAATAGATGTCACGTGTCGATCCAGACCGACCTACGCCGATCCGCTCCGCCGATCGTCACCGATCTACACCGATCTTCTCCTCCGATCTGATCTCCGACCCTTCACCGACTTCTTCACCGACGCCGATCCCGACCTTCCCGTTTTGGTCAAGGGCGGGATATGCTGTCGCGCGGACTGTAGTGCTAGTATATAGTCACACAGTTGCCTAGGGTCCCGGTCTATCTAAGTCGGGGATGACCTAGTTGAATCAGGAGAAAGAAATGGGCCGCTTGAATGTATTCACTTAAACAGAGAACTACGCTCTATCCTTTTGTCTGTACTGGAAATCCGTTCCCACGCTTATAGGGAAGTTACTGAGTATGTCGTCGGTCTTCTGGAAGCGTCTTGTCGGTTCAATGTATCCTATTTCCTATCTTCTGGAAGCGTCTTGTCGCTTCGGCGTATCCTAATTCCTATGTCGTATGTCCTGGAGTGATACTTAGATCTATTGCCTAAGTCAACACTCAAATATCTTCCTAATTCCTATGTCGTATGTCCTGGAGTGATACTTAGATCTATTGCCTAAGTCAACACTCAAAAGCGTCTTGTCGCTTTAACGTATCCTATTTCCTATAACGTATGTCCTGGAGTGATACTTAGATCTATTGCCTAAGTCAACACTCAAATGTCTTCTTAATCTTGCTCTTGCTGCTTAATACTAATAGAGACTGATCTACAGTCTCCTGTGATCGATCTTTGATTCTAGGTGAAA